TGAAATTAAAGAAACAATTTCATATTTATCTTATCATCAGCATTCGTTTTTGAATGCAATCTTGCTCAGATCAATTCAGCAACCCTCTCGTTTTCATGAAATTGAAGCAATGATTTCATATTTATTTTATCATCAGCATTCATTTTTGGATGCAATCTTGTTCAGATCAATTCAACCACCCTTTCATTTTCATGAAATTGAAGCAATGGTTTCATATTTGTTTTATTATCAACATTCGATTTTGAATGCAATCTTGGTCAGATCAATTCAACAACCCTCTCGTTTTCGTGAAATTGAAGCGATGATTTCATATTTATTTTATCATCAGCATTGATTTTTGGATGCAATCTTGTTCAGATCAGTTCAACATCCCTCTGAATTTCATAAACTTAAGGAAATAATTCCACATTTATTTTATCATTAACCTTCATTTTTGAATGGATGCTTTATAGGATAAAGTCAACAACCCTCTCATTTTCACGAAAATGCAGAAATAATTTAATGTTTATTTTATCATCAACACTCATTTTTGAATGCATTCATAATCAGATCAATTCAACAACCCTGTCATTTTCATGAGATTGAAGAAATGATTTCATATTTATCTTATTATCAGCATTCGTTTTTGAACGCAATCTTGATAAGATCAGCTCACAAGCCCTCTCATTTTCATGAAATTAAAGAACTGATTTCATATTTATTTTATTATCAGCATTCATTTGTGAATGCAATCTTGGTCAGATCAATTCAGCAACCCTCTCGTTTTCATAAAAATGTAGAAATAATTTCATATTTATTTTATCATCAGCATTCATTTTTGGATGCAATCTTGTTCAGATGAAGTCAACAACCCTCTCATTTTCATGAAAATGTAGAAATGATTTCATATTTATTTTATTATCAGCATTCATTTTTGGATGCAATCTTGTTCAGATGAAGTCAACAACCCTCTCATTTTCATGAAAATGTAGAAATGATTTCATATTTATTTTATTATCAGCATTCATTTGTGAATGCAATCTTACTCAGATCAATTCAGCAACCCTCTCGTTTTCATAAAAATGTACAAATAATTTCATATTTATTTTATCATCAGCATTGATTTTTGGATGCAATCTTGTTCAGATGAAGTCAACAACCCTCTCATTTTCATGAACTTAAGGAAATAATTCCATATTTATTTTATCATCCAATTCATTTTTGAATGCATGCTTTATAAGATAAAGTCAACAACCCTCTCATTTTCTTGAAATTAAGGAAATAGTTTCCTATTTATTTTATTATCAGCATTCATTTTTGAATATGACCTTGATTAGCTCAATTCAACAATATTCTTATGCTTATGACATTGAAGAAATAATTTCATATTTGTTTTATTATCAGCATTCTTTTTTGAATGCAATCATATTCAGATCAATTCAACAACCCTCTCATTTTCATGAAATTGAAGCAATGATTTCATATTTATTTTATCATTAACATTCGTTTTTAAATGCAATCTTACTCAGATCAATTCAACAACCGTCTCATTGTCATAAAATTAAAGAAATACTTTCACATTTATTTTATCATCAACACTCATTTTTGAATGCGTGCTTCATAAGATGAAGCCAACAACCCTCTCGTTTTCATGCAATATAGAAACACTTTCGTATTTATTTTATTATCAACATTCGTTTTTGAATGCAATCATCGTCAGATTAATTCAACACCTCTCATTTTGATGAAATTATAGAAATACTTTCATATTTGTTTTATTATCAGGATTCATTTTTGGATGCAATCATATTCAGATCAATTCAACAGTCCTCCCATTTTCATGAAAATGTAGAAATAATTTGATATTTGTTTTATTATCACCATTCGTTTTTGAATGCAATCTTGTTCAAATCAATTCAATGACCCTCTCATTTTCATGAAAATGTAGAAATAATTTTATACTTGTTTTATGATCAGCATTCATTTTTGAATGCAATCTTGATAAGATCAATTCAACAACCCTGTCATTTTCATGAAGCTAAAGGAATAATTTCATATTTATTTTATCATCAACACTCGTTTTTGAACGCAATCGTCGTCAGATTAATTCAACAACCCTCTGGGTTTCATGAAATTAAGGAAATATTTTCTTGTTTATTTTATCAGTAACATCCATTTTTGAAGGCAATCTTGATAAGATCAATTCAACAGACCGTTCATTTTCGTAAAATTATAGAAAGACTCTCATATTTATTTTATTATCAGCATTCATTTTAGGATGCAAGCTTCTTTAGATGAATTCAACAACCCTGTCATTTTCATGAAAATGTAGAAAGTCTTTCATATTAGTTTTATACTCAGCATTCCTTTTTGAAGGGAATGTTAATAATATCAGCTCAACAGCCTTCTCATTTTCATGACATTGTAGAAGTAACTTCATATTTATTTTATTATCAGCATTCTTTTTTGAATGCAATCATATTCAGATTAATTCAACAATCCTCTCATTTTCTTGAAATGAAGGAAATAATTTCAGGTTTATTTTATTATCAACCTTCATTTTTGAATGCAATCTTGTTCAGATCAATTCAACAGCCCTGTCATTCTCATGAAAATGTAGAAATAATTTTTGATATTTGTGTTGTTATGAACGTTCGTTTTTGAATGCAGTCTTGCTGAGATCAATTCAACAACCCTCTCATTTTCATGAAATTGAAGCAATGATTTCATGTTTATTTTATCATTAACATTCGTTTTTAAATGCAATCTTACTCAGATCAATTCAACAACCGTCTCATTTTCATGAAACTGTAGAAATGATTCCATATTTATTTTATCATTAACCTTCATTTTTGAATGCAATCTTGGTCAGATCAATACAACAACCCTCTCATTCTCATGAAAATGTAGAAATAGTTTCGTATTTATTTCATTATCAGCATTCATTTTTGAATGCAATCATCGTCAGATTAATTCAACAAGCCTCTGAGTTTCATAAAATTAAAGAAAGACTTTCATATTTAGTTTGTCATCAACATTGATTTTTGAAGGGATGGTTTATAAGATGGAGTCAACAACCTTGTGAGTTTCTTGTAATTGTAGAAGTAACTTCATATTTAGTTTATCATCGACATTCATTTTTGAACTTTTATCTTATTGATTCGGTCCGCTTAACAGAGTTGTGAAGGCATAATGTAATAGTTTGAAAAGATTGAAATATAGGACGGCGTTGTTGAATGAGGTTTTGATTTGAATTATTCAACTTTAAAGGTTTGGAAAATTAAGATTAGATTATGTTATTTCGTGTGAATGGATCGTAATATATTCGAATAATTTATTCGTAGGTTTTATCCTTCTATGGAATGGTATTTTGTTGGAGTGAGTTAGTAATTGTACTCGTTGGTTGTTGACGAGTTATAGGAAATAATTGTTGATTGCATTGTACATTGCTGATGAAATGGTGGTATGGTAGATTGTGAACTTATTTGTTAGGATGTATCGTAGAATGAAGAATAATGTTTTGGTTTTGTTAATTCGGTTGTATCGGGATATGTCGATTGGGGGTTGGTTGTAAGTTGAAGAAAATAGAAATGCAATATGAACATATGTTTGAATCCGTGTGTGTTCAGATTTTGTGCGATAATGTTGAGGATTTGAAACATTGTATTTGTTGTCTGTTTCGTGATTATTGTATAGACTGTATAAACCAAAATGAAGAAAATGGAGCGTATTTGACACCGTTTTTATAAAATTTTGGATAAGACTGTGATTTTAATAAATGCATGCTGATGATTATTGATATTTATCAAAGTTTGTATCAGATTAGTCTACCATTTAGGTCGAACCGAATTTGAAAGAAATCTTTTTTAATTAAAATGATTGAATTGAACTGCTGACAAGGACGATAGGTTTTGATAAATTTGCGAAATATTGGTTTTGTATCTCTTTCATAATTGAAACGTAATTTTTCTTAACCACTTTTTATCTTGATCTGACTGATTCCATTGAAGTAAGAGATTCAGGACATGCTTTTTAAAAAATACTTCATCTTATTTTAAGAAAGAAAAAAACAGTGTGATGCGTTGAAAACGAAAAAGTTCACAGAAGATAGTTTTCACTTCGATTACAGAAATAAAGTATGATTGGTTATCAAATGGTCAAATAACTCCCTATTTCTAGTGTTAGTGTACTATTCGCTAGTATTGCAACGCATAGTTATGAATTGATCTTCAGTCTAGAAGATATGCAACAATGCTCATTACCTCAAGATTACGAGCCTTTTCTGCTACCGAAATTAGTCGACACCAGAAATACTATTGTCGCTTATGCGTTCCACGCTTATGCCGTTGGTGATGATTCGAAAGATTATCGTTATACATCACGAGCGACTAAATCGACGTCACTTCGTCAACAAATATCATCTCTCAACTGAATTTAATATTGACAATCATCAATTTATTTTATCAGAAAGCAGCAATGGCTTTCTGTTGTTGATTGACAACAATGCATCGTCATTAACAATCTCATTTGATTTGCAACTTTCAAACCATAATGCAGACGAATAGCTTGAGATTCAATTAATCACACTGGCTACAGTGGAATATTTACCAATAAAAATGCCACTGTATCGAAGAACGTCGGTTGTTGCAACTACGAGACTATCACCTATTTTGGATATTAGAATTTGAAGATAATGTTCTACGCGTTTCTGAATTAGTCTTATCTTTTGTTTGAACAGTCGTCGTGTTTGTATTTTACTCATAACTTAGACTATCAGTACTCATCAAACTAAAAATTAATATCACGAGACGATGATGTGATGTTGAAAATATTTATACAGTAGGACACCATCGTACATATGATACATATATACGAAAAACATGTGAGCGTCGTCGGTGCGGGTATCTTATTATCTCTATATGAACATACACACACACTCCTATTCTAAAATCATGAAAATATATCTTCTGATTAATAATATTATTTCGAATTAAGTTTTTATTAATTTAAATGAAAGAAAGTTAATTCGAACAAGATTTACTATTGAATTCAGTAAGAGTTAAGATTTGTTGTATTCGTTTATTATTATTCAATTGTGTTAATATACGATTGATTGGAAAACAAGAAATAATTCCATTTGTTAAATTTGTTATTTCAATCCATTCTAATGAAATTTTTCCATAATTTATTTGAAACTCATAATAAAATTCAATTTTTTCAATTGAATTTAATTTTGTAGATGTACGAATTTCAAATGTATCAATAGAATTATTTCGATGAAATGCTTGTTGATTATCAATAGTTTGATCTAATTGAATTTGTTCAGTTTGATGAAATTTACCAAAAAGTTTTATAGAAACATGAATAAAATCATTGAGTAATAAATTTGTTTGATTCGTTTTAATGCGTACAGTATAATAATAATAATTCGAAATATTTCTATTATATCGTTTATCATCACATGAAATAGTTTGATAATTAGTCATTGAAAAATGCATATTATCAGATATTTTATCTAACCATTGATGAACAGAAAAACATTTTGTTTGATTTGTTTGAAGATTTTTTAATTCAACAAAATCACAAAACCATCTATAGAAATCAAATAGAAAAGATCAACGAAATATTTTTATTAATAAAACTTACCCATCATTTTGCCCGTCATGATAAAGATCAATTCGATCAATATCAAAGATAGTTATATTCGATAATGTTATATTAAATTTATCTGTATGATGTTTTTGAAATGGTATTTTATGATTTTTAGAGCTTTCAAGACGAATAGAATCACCTAATTGTTTATTATTTTTATCATATAAATTTAGATAAACATTAGCATTATATCCTGGTTTGCCTTGTAATGATTTATCAGCTGTTTGTGTACATATTTGAAATTCTTGATCAGTAGTAGAAGTTCTCATATTTTCTTCGTTATTTATTGGTGAAGATGAAATAAGCATTGAATCAGGTAATTGATTACAAGGAC